CTCACAGGTGTCCTTCCAGGTCACACTTGTCCTTCCATGAGAGACAGCAAGGTCAGGATGGGCAGAACATGGATCCAGAGTGACAGCCCCTGCAGAGAGAGTGACCAACCATGCAAGACCCTCCCTCACCTACAGCAAGGGCACAGAGCCACCCCCTCCCTCAGAGCCGTTAACGACACGGGGGAGGGCTAAGCCTCTGGAAAAGAGCCTTGTGGTTCATGGGATTCGAGCCTACAACCCTCCAAGCAGGAGAAGGATTCAAGGGAGTGATGTAAGAGTTAAGTACATCACAGAGCCCTGAGGACGTCATTGGGAGCTGAAGAACACCTATTTGCATCTGACCTTAGCCCTACCCACCAGCCCCAGCACTGTGACTGTCATTGTCAACACCCACCCACCACCATGGATGGTTCCAGCATTTATGTCACCACAGAGAACCGAAGGAGAAGCCAAGAAATATGAGGGCAGGAGGGGGAGACCCAGAAAGGACACGAGTCACTCACAGGCCTGGAACTGCTCCTTCCGCCAGTCTACAAAAGAACCAACATTTCAGATCAGGGATTGGCAGGGACAAAACAACATCAGAACCTGGACTCTGAAACAGTCATCCTGGAAGCTTTCGGTCTCTGTGGGAATTTCTTGGCGAAGGCAGAGGACCAGGCACAGTGTTTTGGGTTCTCCCATAACTACAGGGATGCTTTTGCCCCTGCCAGTCTGTGAACAGGGGAAAAAAGCCACCAGACGCGACCAGTGTCTGCCTTCTCCCTGAATGTGTGTGTTTCCTGCTTTGAATGCTCCTTTCTCCTATTCTAAAAGCCTCTCCATTGACTTCTTTCTTTTTATATTTGGAGGATTTTTTCTTTTTGGAGGATTTTTGCTTGCCAGAGAGACAGAGAGGCAGAACATGAGGAATCACCCCAGTGGAGACGACTAGAAGGGATTTCAGCAGAGAAAGGAGAGATGGCAGAAAGAAAGCTACCTGATTCTCATTTGTTTTAAAAACAAGTTCCTGGGAGAATTAATACGACTTTCTAAGGTGGGTCCTTTACACATCTTCTCCCCAGACCTCCTTTCTCTGTGGCTCAGCCTTCCTGTCTCTGGTGGTCTATATCTCTGTGGCTCAGCCTTCCTGTCTCTGGCGGTCTATATCTCTGTGGCTCAGCCTTCCTGTCTCTGGCGGCCTATACCTCTGTGGCTCACCCTTCCTGTCTCTGGCGGGCCATATCTCTGTGGG